GGAGGCAGCTGGGTTACATGTGAAGCTCCCAATAAAAGTGAGCTGCTCCTACAGCTGGGAGCATCACATTTTACCACACCGTCAGCGCTGCTGCTCGGTTCCACTGAGAAGAGAAAAAACGAACATTCTCGGACGCCTTTGTGTCAGGCACTGTGCTTAATGCTCGACTGGTCAGGGCCAGCTTTGGAAGATGCAGCCGGGCTGTCACACAGGCCCTTTGCACGCCTCCATGGTTTGCTCTCACCGTCTTGAAACACTTCTAATCTTTTTTGAACAAGAAGCCTCATGATTTCATTTTGTATCTGGCACAGAATGCTTCGCATGGATTATCTCATTTAATCCTTCTGAGTCCTCTGAGAGGTGAGCGTTCTGTTTCTCTTGGTTAGAAGAGGGACCAGAGGCTCAGAGATAGGCAGACACTTACCCAAAGTCACACAGCTGGAAAGGCCTGAGCCAGAATTTGTAATCAGGTTTGTCTGACTCTTAAGTGTAGGCAGGATAGTGGTTTCTCTGAAAAGTTTATAGTATGTTCTAATCTCTGGGGTCCTTGGTGTGGGAAAGATCTCTGGGGGACTGAAGGTCCCCAGCTCAGGCAGCATGTTATGTGTTCCTAGCAGATTTGAGTAGCTCACTGTCTTTTATCCTTTGTCCTTTGAGGGTCTGCTGAGTGAGTCAGACAAGCGTTCCTTCTGAAGGGCGGCAAGTAGTGTAGTGCAGTCTTGTCTCAGGGCAAACTTTGAGGTTCTGGCTCCTCCCTGGCAGCCCCCAGTTCTGATGCCCACAGAACACGTCTGAGGTCCGGCGTGACTGCCACATGTGCACTCACCTGTTACAGGGGAATCAGATTCAGCCAACACCAGAGGAGCACTCGGCATCTGCCTGGTGCGGTGCTAGGGGCTTGAGGAGGGGGAGGATGGTGGCAGTGATGATGCTAGTTAGTGATGCTGTGGGTGCTGATGATAATCATTGCAATTGATAACGTTCAGCAGGTGCTTATGGTTGCCAGGCAGCATTCTAAGTGTTTATATTGTATTATCTTATGTCACCCTCACACCGCCCATGTAGTGGGCCGTATCATTATTTCCACTTACAGATGAGGAACCTAAGGCCCAGAGAGGTTAAGTAACTTGCCTGGAGTTGCACAGCTAGTGGGAGACAGAGCTTTATTACTGTTCTTCCAGATACAGAGAAAATCAGCCCTGCTTTGGGGGACCTTAGAGTAAGTAACATGAGCACTTATAACTGAGGGTGACGTGTGCAGCAAGAGAAGTGCATGATGACAACCACCAGGACGAGGATGGTAGTATTTACTTAGCGTTTACTCAGCGCCAGGCGCACTCCCGAGCATTCCACACGCATCTTGAGTTTTCCCACCGCGCCTGTGAAGTAGGTTTTTTTAATCCCATTTTATAGGTCAAGAACTCCAGGCACAAACTGATTCCTGGTATTGGTTCGGAGGCAGAATTTGAAAGTGGCATAGGCAGGATTTGAACCTGTGACCTTAACTCTACTCTGCCTTGCAGAGAGCACAAACAGAGGGTTTGGGGAGGCTTCACAGAGAAGGTAGCACCTGGACCAGGATGAGGGATCAAAGGGAGCTCCTGGGGGCAGGACAGGAAGGCGTTCCTGGTGGTCAGATCAGCAGGGACGGAGGCCGAGGGGTGGGACCGTGGCCCAGCATGGTCGTTGGGTGCGTGGGCGTGACTGGAACACATCGCGGGGGGTGGCAGGAGATGACGGGGTCGGGGAAGGCCCACTCAGGAAGGGCCCCGCTGTCCCTGAGGGCTGTGTGGAGTTCCTCAGGAGAGGGACAGGGGCAGATTTCACATGATGGCGTGGAGACAGGATAAAATTCCAGGCTCCCGGTCCTGGGAAGACAAAGCAATACTGCGAATTTTAATAGGAAATCAACATTCCCAGGCTCACATGGGAATCCAGTAGCACTGCTAGCTTCTGCCTGGCCTTTCGGTAAAAGACCCGGGCAAATCCAGCTGCCTGTCACCAGCCAAGGCTGAGATCAGGCTGCTGTCAGAATAGTTTCCTGAGGTCTCTCACGCACACTACAAGCTGTTGGCAGCCTGCGTGCTCCTCCCCCGAAACCGCCACCTGGGGACTTGGGGGCTGTCCTGAGAGGGACTTCGGATGGTGGCTACTCCCCTAGCCCCTCAAAAAAAAAAAAAAAAGCTTACACAAATGCCATGAATTATTAGAAAGAGAGGTGAAATGACTCAGTCGTGGAACTTGGATTGGACCAGCCTGGGCCAGAATCTGCATTCTCTCTCCTGGTGACAAGGAGTCCGAATTGGTCCCCCACAGTCTTTTGGGGGTTCTGGAGCTCCCTGAGCATCTGATGAAAACCTCACCCTCACTTTGTAGGGGAGGCGGGAGGGACGGGCATAATCGCCAACACGTGGGATCTCAGGGAGACGGTAATGTAGCAGTGACCCTCACAACCAGACCGTCCCTCCTCAGCCCCTCCTAAGGCCCAGAAATGCTAGAGGGAGTGGCCACTGTTCACTGGCTCTAGGATGGCAGAAATCCCACCCAGCCGGCCTCTCCAGGGACTCCATTTTAGAGCTCTCCAGGCGAGAGACCATTTTGGCCAAGGGTCCTTTTCCGTGATGGAGGTTGCGTAGGACCTGGAGTTTGCGTTCTGACTCTTCCCCACCCCTGTCCACCATGCAGGAGCCCGGGCAAGGATCCTTTTCTGGAAGGAGGGAAGGGAAGAAAGAAGACATTGGGTACACAAGGGCTTCCCAGGGTGGAAACAGAGTTCACTGGACGTGTGCCCTGTCTCGTGAGCCTCCTGCCATGTTTTCCATTAACAGGACCATTCGGGCTTTGAGATTCCCCACCACCAGCCAGATAATTACCAAGCTGGGCTGCCCCCTGCTGGAGCCTTGCAAAATTACACTCATTTGCAACTGGGTCTTCCGGCCAGTGACCACAGCCTGGCGAGTAAAGCATTATATATCAAGGGAGAGATTGCGTCCCCAGTGGTTGTCTGCCTTATGGCTCGGTCTTGCGGTGTTTTCCCCTGCAAGCCCTGGGGCCTAAAGCCAGTTCTTTTAGAAACCCTGGCTGAGGTGATCGCTACCTCTCTGTCTCACCCCCACAACCCCCACCTTGTGCACATACCCCCGCCACTTCAGTGCTCTTTCTGGAACACCCAGGACACACTGCTTCCCCTGCATGTGGCCTGGCTGACTCCCCTTCATCCTTCGGCCCGCACCCTGAGTTAGGAAGCCCTTGCACAATCCCTGGGCTGTTCCCCTACACCTGTGCTTCCCCTGGCGTCACATTCACCGGATTCATGTTGCTTGTTCCTGTGTCTGCTTCTCCTCCTTCGAATTCCTGCCTGACGTTCTGCTGCATTCCCAGCCCCTAGTGCCATGCCTGGCACTCGGTCAGGGCTTGGCAGATAGCTGCCCAATGAAAAATTGTGGGGCCAAGGGGTCACGAGAAGTGGGCTCACCAAGTGAGCAGCCAGTTGCTCTCCTGTGGCTTTTAATCCGAGTGTGCCTCGCTTGCCTGCCTCTGTTTTCTGACCTGTGAGCTGGGCAGCAGTCTGGCCCTGCCTGTGCAGGAAACAGAGGAGGTGACCAAGGTCAACTACCTCCGAAGAAACCCAGTCAGAGCCCTGTGACACACTTCTTCTTCAGTCCGGGACCTTGCCTCTTTAACAGTGTGCTCCCGGGACCAATGATCTCTTTCCTGCTCAGCCCACCTTCTGTCTCTTGGAAACCCAGCCTGATTAGCCCTGCATTTAGTCTGTCCTGCAGAGGGACACTCGGGGCTGGCTGACTGCTGGCCTCGTTTTTTGCAGAGCAGGAGGAATCCCTGCTGAGCTACCAGTCAGCCGGCCGCCAGCGTTGCATGTCTTGGTAGGGTTTCTCCTTGCGGCCACGGGGAGCCTTTGCTCTCTCGCCACCCGCCTCTCGTGACTGCCTCTGCGCACCTGTGCTCTTCCCAGCCTGCACCGCACCTGAGCTTTATTTGGGCCACCTGGAGCTTTCCAGGCGTCCACCCCCCAGGATGGGAGACTCGGTTCTCTCCTGAGGCTGCTGGGGGACTTGTGAGGATACTCGGGGCCCGAGGGGGACGGAAGGAGGAACTGCGAGGGTAAGAGGTGTTGATTGACTAGAGAGAATCCTGGACCATTTCACAAGCTTCCCCTTTTAATCTCTGGACTGGCTGCTGTTTTTAGAGGCCGGCGTGCGCTGGGAGCAGAGTGAGGCATGGCTGCCAGTCTTGTCTGAGAGCTTTCAAAAGGATGGGAGGGGGGCAGATGGGCAATGGGACCCACGGAAAAGCTTTAGTGCTGAATTTGAGGAAAACCAGGATCTCTGGGGATCTGGGTGGTGGGCACTCAGGGGCAGAAGCAGGTGCTCCTGCTGGAATATGCTGTTGTTGCCATTTTGAGTAGCTCTTTGGGACTCCAGAGTCAGACGAGTACCATTGACCTAGCTTAAATCCTGCTCCCACCCTTGGCTAGGAGACTGCTGGGGCGGAGGTGGGGTACACTTGAGCAGTTGTCCTGCCATGACTGTTTCTTAGGGAGAAGTGGTTTTGCAAGGCAGAATTGGGGTGCAGTTACTAGAGGAAGGGGCAACAGGTGCTCAGTAGACGAATACATACCCTTGGTAGTTGAACCTGTGAGGCGCCCCTGCCCTTTTCCGGAGGCAAGTTTGGTGCTGCATTCAGACTTGAGCACATTTCTTTAGTGCTTGGAGTAAGGCTGGGTGTCTGTCTGCTGTGCAGCCCTCTTTAAAAACATCTCAGACTCTATCTGCGAGTCCATCCCATGGCGATTACAGACCACAGCCTGCAGAAAGGCCCAATGTGGGCTGGGACTCAGGAGGGAATGGTGCGGGCATCGGGTGGCCCAGTTCTCCAGAACCACCTAACACTGGAGCAGAACTCCACACCCCAGTCTGGCTCCCCAGCTCCCCCGTTCAGCTGTTCTCTTGGCTTCTGACTGGCATGCTTCCTCTTTGTAGCAGAAAAGAACACCTCTGGAATGGTCAGCCGCCCTTCTGCAGGGAGGATGGAGTGGATCGTCCCTCTGATCGTGGTGTCCGCCTTGACCTTTGTGTGCCTCGTCCTTCTCATCGCCGTGCTAGTTTACTGGAGGTGAGTCCACCAGGGAGCACTGACGGAGGACGTGGGGGCTGGGTTCTGCTGTCAACATGCTGCCCAGGGTGGGGGAGGGGAGGGGAAGCCCGTGGCCTCCTCATGCAGAAAGGTAAGGTAGCCAGGGTATTTCTGGTGTCACCATCTGGGAGAAGCCGGCAGGACAGAGCCACTGTTGGGATGAACGCACTTAGGATGAGCTTCTAGGATGCAGTGCCAAAGAGCTTTCTGCCTGGGAATCAGGGAGATCCAGGTTCGCATCGCAGCTCTGCTACTTGCTGGCCGCAAATCCCATTTCCACTTGGAACTTCAGTTTCTAAACCTGCACAATGAGTGACTAAGTTTCATAGCATTTCCAGGTTCTCTGAGACCATGCTTCACTTTGTTGTGTTGTGGAAAAATGTGTTACAGCTCAGTTGTGACGGCAACCTGGATCTGGGCGAGACACCAGGCAGCACTCGGAGAGTTGGAGAATTCAGGTTTACAATCCCAGCAGGCCCAGAGGAGTTAACACTCCAAGCTCTGGACCCTGTCTGTAGGTTTGCACTGGGTTTTATAGGCTATCAGTTAACACTTTGCAACATCATATGCAAATGAAGTATAAGGAAGGTTGACTAGGAACAAGCTTTGTAGAAATGGACCAATCAGGAGGGAGAAAAATGACCAGTCAGGAGTGAGAAATAACCAATCAGGAGTGAGCTCCAGGCAAATGAAGCACTACAAATGGACCAATCAGGCATTAGGGAAATGAGCCAATCAGGAGTGAAAGAAGTAACCAATCAGAAGTGAGCTCAGGAACCAATAGAATTTTAGGGGTAAGTAAGCCATTTCAGAGGCAAAAAGAGAGAGCCTCTGGGCCAGGGAACCACCGGATGGTGCTGGCAGGAGAGTAGTGGCCCTGCCTAGGGTCCTGCCAGTCTTTATGGGGCTTCCAGCTTCAGCTGTAGGCACATGATAGCTCCTCTTGACCTTAAAATTTTTTTCATAAGTGTTCTGCTGAAAATCTGGTGATAGGAAAACATGTATCATATTATGTGGCATTTAATATGTGTAAGATAAAAATGACTGGTGGTAAGCCCTCCTTTTATTACCATCATCCTTGGACAGGGTCTCACTGTCTCCCCTAGGAAGCCCACTGCAGCTTCTTTTGGAAAGTTCCATATTTCTTCAGCTGCACTGTCTCAGCCTAAGCGGTTTAACCAGTGAGGCAGGCTGGCCCGCGCGGTTGGCCTGGCTGCCTTCGCCTCTCAGACTATCACAGGAAGCTTCTTAACAGGCTTCGTCAGTGACGAACAGGTCTCGGATCTCCATCCCTCCCTCCCTCCCTCCCTCCCTCCCACTCATCAGATGAAGTTTGAGCCCCTGTTGTGTGCCAGACAGACACTCCGCTCATGAACCTTACATTTATAGTGCTGGAGACAGGCCATAAACAAAGCAAAGAAGTGAAATATGTAATACCTAGGATGGAGCTGAGTGTGTAATGGCGAAAAGTAAATCTGGGAAGTGGAAGGAGCTGCTGAGGCTTAGGGGTGAGCGGTCAGCGTGGTTAGGGAATGCCTAACTGGTGAGTGGTAAAGGAGGAGTCCAATGGGCTCCATCTGGGACACATTCCAAGCAAAAAAAACAATATATGCAAAGGCCCTGAGGCAGGAGTGTGCCTCGTATGTTGCCAGAATAGCCAAGAGGTGTGGCTGGAACAGCTGAGTATGGGGAAGAGTGGTAGGAGAGAGTGTCAGGAAGAAACAGGATGCAAGGGGGTCAGGTCGTGTACAGCCTGGTGGGCTGCTGTAAACACACTGCCTTTTTACCCTGAGAGAAGTAGGGTTGGGTACAGAGGAGTGCTGTGTTCTGACTTCAGGGTGACTTGCCTGTCTTGCAAAGAGACTGAAGAAGCAGGGGCAGAAACAGAGAGACCAGCTGGGACGACTGAACTGCTCCAGGAAGGGGTGCTGGTGGCTCAGATGAGGGTAGTAGCAGTGTGGGCTGTGGGAACCGATTGGGTGTAGATGTGTTCCAAAGGTGGGATCAGCAGAATTTGCTGACAGATAGGCCATGTGTCTTTGGCTCTGTTCTTAATTGGAAAGAACAAGGGAATAAGACAGGGTTCACCTGAGGCTTCCCCAGGCCCCTGATGGAAACCCCAGCACTGCCAGTGCTGCAGACCAGCTAGATGATGCACTACATTGTATTTTGGGGGGAGCCTAGGAATGCTAGACTTAACCTCCCTGCCCATCACTTCTCCAGGATAAAGCGGTTTGCAAACAAAAACTTGTCTGGAGCCTGTTGGTTGGTGGAGGCTGCCTAATGTGGGTTTAACTGAGCAGGTGGAAGTAACAAAAGGTCTGCACACCCTCCTCGTGGCTCTGTTTGGTGCTGTGTGGTTTTAGTTGCAGACACTCCCCACGAAGGAGCAGAGAGGACCCACGGCTGCCCCAAGCTGGGTGACCCTCGCAGCCCCAGTGTGAAAAAGTTCCTGTTCCAAATCATTCTAGCAAAAACCTCAGTGTTGTTTTTAATTGGTCCACCGTGATTCTCTGCCCACCTGAGAATGGATCACGGTGCAAGGAAGACACGGACATTTTGCCAAGCAGACACGGTTACCAGGCTGGCCAAACACACATGTCAACAGCAAGCTGCTTGTAGGAAGGTGCTATGTAAGGTAGTAAAGAGAGCTTTTTAAAATCCGTCCATTCGAGGTGTATTTTCCCACTAGCAATTCACAACTGTTAATACTTCTGAAAAACTTAGTGAGTCCAAACACAAAATATGTACTGAATAATACATTCTTTCCTGTTGAGAATGTATCTATAAGGTTTTATGTCTATCATTTATAGACGCGTCTATAAATAATATTACGTTCCCATTCCGAGCTTGGTTTAAAGTTACTAGAGTTTTAAACTTCATCCAGCAGCCTCTGGCCAGGAGCTTTGACCGAACCCCTGATGCCGACACACCAAAGTTAGCACAAAGGAGAAAATCCTTACAGAGCAAGCAAGGTGAAACTGAGTTAGCGTCAGGATGGATGAGTTTAGCCTAGAGGGGACAAGGACCTTTTTTCTGTCCTTTTTTTTTAATTCATGGGAGGGTAGGAAGCACTGGGCAGCCCACACAGAAGAGGCGGGTGTCACTCTTTGGCGACGCAGCTCTGAAGCCAGGACAGCAGTGCTCCTGAGCACAGTGAGGCGCCCTGGGGGCGGATGATGGGCAGACAGACAGACTTGCCCTAAGTAGACGCTGAGGCAGGGCGTTCTGGAGCATTTCCTCAGGTGGCAGGCCTGACCCCGGGGACTCAGACCTGCCCGCTGTGGTGGCAGCTTCTCCAGCCAAGGGCTGGTCCTCCGCAGCCATTGCTCTGGTTTCTGAGCATGCTCGCTTGGAGTCGTTGGCACTGCAGTTTTGTGGGTTCGTGAAATTGTAGGAAATGGAAGCTGAGGACTCTGAACTCTGTCCACTAGCGTCCCCCCTACCACTTCAGTGTTTGCCAGTGTTCGCTGAGTCGTTCGTAGTAGCAAGGCTGTGCCACAGCACCTGCCAGGCACCCTCTCACGTGATTCTTAGCCCGTGATTCTTGTGTGGTAGGACCGTTCCCATCCCCACTTGGGAAGCCAGGGACCAGGAGCTCAGGGAGGTCACGTGAGTCATCCCAGGGCCTGTAGTAACTGAAAGACACGTGCAGTGAGTGGAGACCCGATTTGTTTAATCCAGAACCCTTAGCATATCTAGCCCCTGAGACACATCCCGTGTACTGTACTCAGTGCCAGGAAGACCGAGCATCACGGTGGTTGAGCTAAGTCAAGCGGACTTGGGATTAGTGAGCCCTTTGGGCCACCGCCTTGCAGTTAAACTCACCTGCTTTCTTTGACCTGGGAAGGGAAAGGGAGCTGATGTTTGTTGAAATGCCCACTGCGGGCTGAGCAGTGGGCACGCATATGCACTGTTGGTCAGGACCGTTTCTCCTGCAGCTGGCAGAAATCTGTCAAACTGCCTTAAGCACACACACAAAATAGTTTGTCAGCTCATGACACTGAATGTTCAGGAGCATCAGGCCCAGCTTTTCTTGGAAGACGGAAAAAGAACTTGGCTTGTTTTGTGTGCCTCTCTCTCTCTCCCTGCCTCTGGATTCTGCTCACACCCTCCCCCTCTCCCTCCCGTCTCTTCTCTTGGGAAGGCCCCTCTGTGTGGTGATCTCTGGCCTGTGTTGGACTTCTGTCTCCCCATCCCAGCGCAAAGGGGATTTCTCTCCCCTAACAGTGCCAGTTAAGCCTCCAGGTGATGTTTCCTAGGACTGACTCGGGTCATTTGTCCATTCGCAGAGCCCTGGGGCGGCCAGCGGGGTGAAGGCTTGTCAGGCCTGGTGTTCTGTGTAACTCTGGAACCCAGAAAGGCGGTCCTGGCCATCGAAACCACATGCATTGACCTGGACAAGGGGTGGTCCTACTAAGGACCATCCAGACCCAGAAAGGTGACTGGATGCAGGGATCATGCAGACAGAAGCGGGCAGTGTCCCCTCCAAAAGCTGGGAAATTGGAAGCAAGGAAGGATAGTTCAGACTTGGAAAGCAGGGGAAGCCCACGGGTAAATAGTGGGGAAGAAGCACGGTGGGTGTGGGAGCTCAGCACGGCCAGCCTGGCATTCTTATCAGTGCTCTGGCGTCCCATGTCCCGTGCCCTGGGAAAACGAGGGCCGCGTTCATCATCTAAGTTGCAGGATTGTTGGAGAGCGCGTACTGGCGTTTAGACGGCTCAGTTAAGTGTTCTGCTTTTTAAGAAATTAGAAAGCTGTTTCTTCTGTTGGGCTCCCTTGCAGCTGCTGTTCATGTCGCTCTTATGGAGCTCCTGCCACATGCTGTGCTAGGCTGTAAAGGCCCCTTAGGCGAGAAGCCCCTGGAAAGAAAGGTGGAGTAACACTGCCTTAGACAAGACTCCACCACCTTCAGTGTCCTTCTCTGCAAAACCGAGTTTAAATGAATGTGCCATTGGCTTCACGTGAAGATTAGGTAT